AGGTAGGAAAAAATATGTATTTTATTAAAACATTATTATTCAGTATGATTGTTAATCGTATATGTAATTTATCATATTGATGATGCCTGTAAACTGGCGTCCCTCATGTACAAAATTAGAATATACTATTATTATTATTATTATCAGACACATCGCTACAAGTAACAGACAAGTCACCATTACTTACTTTCCTGTTTGCATCCAAGACGCTCTGTCCCTTTTTTGACCCAGGCATCATTGAACGTAACCAAAATTCCAGAAAGTTCCAGACAATGCTTGTTCAAAAAAGACTTCGCCGGCAGCAGGGAAGATGAACGGTGACTATCCAAAGTCGTGCAAACTGTCCAAAACCGTTTAGAAACTGATGTTGTACTGTCAGAAACTGTCAGCCACGTCTCGTGAACCGTCAGTGCCCAGCTCTTGCTACTCTGGGACTCACACTGTTCCTTGAAGTTTCTCAGAAACACTTAGTAATAACGGACGCAAAACCAAAACACCGATTGGCTACTCGAGAATTCTTCATTGTAACACCAATATATAGCCAACTTTAAAATTAAGCTTTAACTAAGGTCCATGAACAAATATTACAATATTGCCTACAATACTTCTGACGGTTTACTGCTGACTTCTTTCTGAACAGCGACCGATGAGACGATGACTGGTGTACCGATGTCTCCGCGAAAATATAAGGAAGTTGGGTTTGAACAAACAACCATGAATTGATCGTTCAATCTTCAACTACATTGACATTAAATATGATTGCGTATCTTATATGTAATTTATCATACTGATTTCGCCTATGAACTGGCGTCCCTCATCGACAAAATAAGAATATATTATCATCATTGAAAAAATGTGGTTTGGGTAATTTTTATTCATACATGTACAATTAGTATGTTCCTACATAGAAATGAATAGATATACATATTTTTTTATTATATTTTTTTATTGTGAAATTTGTGATTCAGTTAGATAGCATTTACTACTGACTACAGCGATATAATCAATAAGATCAGGTGACGTGCCTGTTCTTAGGGAAAGGTGGTGAAAACGTTCAGAATTCCCGAGACAGATGGGTTGCATATGGCGAAGTACATCTAAGTCACCTATGCGCTACGGCGTTTTAGAATTAGATTCAACTGACGAATTGATCTGCACGAATATTTTCATTGGTATAAATCACTCGAAACTCTCGCTTAGCTGACTACATATGTCATCTATTTGAAAGTCATTTGTATTCCGCGATACGACGCCACATACGTGGATCCATTAGAGATTGAGTACGGAGACGTCAGTACAACGTCAGAGGATGATACCTTCGGTGATTTTCCGACACAGGACCATCAACCTGAGAGGTGTACTGCTGTAAGTCCATAAATTCTTCAGGGATAGCCCATGGAGACATAGCTAACCAAATCGGCTATCTTGTCTGTATATTTGTGCAGAGTATTTGGATTGATTGAACTCAATACTTTGGTATGTGCTTTTTGCTTCCTACTTCCTGCATTTAGTTCCATTGCATAAATTCCAGCAGACCTTCCTCATGCTAATATCTGAGGCCGTTTGGAGTTTCCTGTATTTATGAAAGAATCAAGTGAAGATGGGGTTAAGAACCATCTAGCGGGATTCGACACGCCACATAATGCTCAGCTGATACAGATCAGAACTCATCCAGTGTTCGTGTGGGCATGGATTAGTCATCGCACTGGCCTCCAACGTTGTCAGTACGTTCAAGTCTAGGCTAAGTCTTTTACGCTGCAGTGATACAGGCGACCTGTGTGCGCAGCTATTTTTCTGACCTAAGTGGGGTGAGTGGTAAGTGTCTCATTTATTCCTGGTGCCAGACGTGCAAAGGGCTGTCGTTAGGAGAGCGTCACTGTATATCACCATGATAGCAATTCTCAGCTCTGCAGGAGACGTAGAAGTTGATGGCATTCCTGCTCCAAGATGTCATGAAGAACTCCGAGTGGAAGAATTTTTTCTAGTGACCTGGGAGGCCATTGATCTATGTTCCGGTAGCTGCTGTTGCGTTGTCGTCAACGATTTTGAACGTGCACTAATGTGAGAAGGGCGTGTCTGAGGTTCGCTGGCCACTTTCCATTTCGTCTTTGTTCTCAGTGGACAAGGTGTTTACAAGGCAGTTAGTACTAGTGGCAGAAGGGACTGGATAAAATTATGCCTGGGTGTGCGGGTGCTGAGAGAATGTCAGATGTCTTGAACTCTGAGAACCAGTTTTGTTTTAGCTAAATGTGAAAATCTTTTCTGTGTTTCAAATATTTGTAGGCTGGAGGAGGATCAGGGGCATAGGATCAGAAGTACTGATGTATGTAAATGGAAGTTAACTGGTGGATTTTTCCACTGTAATTTGTTAGCTGAATGTGAGTTATGGTTATGTGCATGGTTATCCTCGCTATATTGGTTTGTTGATCGTTGAGCAGCAAATCTACGATGTTCCAGTCTGCGTTATACTACCAATCTCACCGAAGTTTACTTGGTCATTAGGTGTACAACTAGTATTTCCAGTTCTGGACAGTTATTTTGTGAAAGAAGCACTAATTCCCGACAGCGTCCTTGACACTGCGTGATACAATCAATTAGCATCTCTTAAGAACAGATTTTGACGTTCTGTGAACCCCACTTCTGCAGTCACCAGCAGGCTGCAAGAAGATAAGCAGTAATGTTATCAAAGGAAAACCAGAACATTCGGAAGCGACGAAAAGTGTAACTTCAGTCAATGTCAACGCTAATATTCAAAGAATCAAATTCAGAAAAATGGTATTTATTCCTTATTGGTCAATAGACAAGAGTTCTTTATATAAATAAGCAAAGACGGTTAGATGTTGAAGGCAACTATCAACCTGACTGACTTTTTTCCGCAGCAGTCTAGGTCATGTAGAATTTTATTTCAAACGAACAGAAATGGATGAGCGATCGAATAGACAGTGTCTTTTCCAAGGGTTAGTGTACGTCAAGTTGGTTTCTTGTTCTTGCTCCTTGGTAGCATGGTATAGTGTCCTTGTATTCGACAAACTTCTGAGTAGCGTATTCTGCTGCCCGACCAACGTCGCTTTGGTTAACACTGAGGTGAGTGGTCGGGAGATTGTTATATGTGGTTTTCTGCACGGGGCGTGTTAAGACCATGCTGTTGTTGTAGATGAAGTTAAACTTTGCACGCATCACTCGCCCAATGTAGCTAGAAAAACGGAAAATATTGATGTTACCATATATTACGATGTATGTAATCAGTGTATACTATGTGGACTTTAAAGAGAAAACGTGCAAATAGATGGATAATGAAACTAATTGCCTAAAAACCAAGTGAGTGAATAGGCAGATTAGTCAGAAGAGTGATATGAGGGAGAGGAGGCATTGTTAAGGGACGAATTTAGACGATACGCATTAACGGATCGAGGTGTGTGGGTTTCAAGAGGGTGGTCCGACGGGGCTCAGTTCTTGCATTGCCACGTAGACATGTTTCCTCCGATAAAGCTTTCCACGAAGAGCAAAATATCGAAGGACATAAAACCAAAGTCGAAAAGGTTTCGTAGCCCACTTTAGTCAGCGCTCTCTGGTGTCTAGTCCTCTATTTGTTGGCGCGAAGAAGCCCATAATGACGTGATGGAAAAATATTTTCCTTAGGATTGATGACGTCATCTGAAATCTCGTGAAGAGTGATTCAGTCACCTGAGGGCATTATTAACATATGAGCAGCCTTCGCCGGTGTACATGCATTTGTATGTGATGTGAAAAAGTGCAGTTGGCACCCAAATAACAAGATGAATAGTTCACTGTTGTCAAGCGATAGTGAAATATGTGGCTATGGAGCAATGTTCACAATTATTAGGGCCGAAAGAGATAACTGACGGATGGCCAGCAAGGATTCCTTGGCCAGTAAGTTTAGCAAAAGCCTTAATCAAAGGTTGATTTCAACATCAACCAAGATGTGAATTCTAAGAAACTTATATACAAGGGATTCTCTTGCTTTGAAAACCTACAACTGTATACTCAATGGCACTTTTTTCCAGGCGACGTTTTCCTCTATTCAGAGAAGAAAAACATATGAAAGATGGAAAAGCGCTCCTACCGTGGCACGCAGATCTAGTTTTCTTTCTCATGTTTCTGCTTTTCGTGATGCCATAATTTATGCTTGTCTTTCAGTCATATAATGTATAGATAAGCTCCATTAGTTCGATAACGTCAATAGCAGGTACATTCCATTCACGCTACCCATGAATAATGAAGAATACTCAGAAGTCCAACTGGAACTATAAGCCAGCCAACCATATTACTATCGTACTGTGAACTTGGATCTGTATACCTTCAGATGCTTCAAACAAGAGGCGACTAATCAGATAATAGACTGTAGTGCACAAATCAGATCTTTCTAAACCGGATAAATCACTGAGGATTCCATCCTGTATAATTATTACTGTTCGGAATAAAGTCATTATTATATTACTAAGAGTAGTTAACGTATCCATCGAGTAAACTATAAAAGTGTTGTCCATCCACAGGTGGGAAAGTTTAGTTGTTAGAGGTCGAACTGATACTATATAAACTACACCATTGGAAACCATCTGCGCCACTATTTCACTCCAACTTCCTTTTTACATCTGTTTGTCAGTGCCGTTATTCTTACCCGTCCTATGCTGAATCCAGTGAATAGAATTCAATATTTTCCACGCTTCCTTGGCTTACTTTTTTGGTTTACTGGTGCTGTTTTCCTTGTATCTGTTCACAGGAGTGCCTGATAAAACGAAATTCACAGCACAGCCATCGTACTAATATGAACCATATATTTTTCGTAAACGTGACTTTTCTATTTGCATACACTAGAGCACTGCAACTACTAAGGGGGTTACAGAATCTGCCAAATATAGAGAATTATTTCGAGAGTATACAAACTGACAACTAAGAAATTATAACGTCTTTGCAAGTTCGTCATATTGATATTGGATATTGAATGTGTTTCTTTCAGTGTCATCTACACTGGTTGTCATATCTCTTTTAACCGCATAGTTCGAATTATTGTGCCATTTGGGATATTTGTTAGGCTCTATTATGGATGATAATGAACACTTGAGTTCTTCCAACGAGCAAATACATTGCTCAAACAATGCTGCCGTATGTGAAAATTCGGATGAAAATGAAATGAATTTCTCGGGTATCAATCTGCTCAGGAATAATACGAGAAATGAAGATGATCACAATGATTTGATTGTTTTAGATCCTGATCACGTACAGTGACCTATTTTCTCTTTCGATTTATAATTTTCAGCCTTTAATGGTCCGTTTCCAAGGATGCCTGAAGACTATGCTCTTGAAGCACACTGACAAGATTGAGATATATTTAAGAGAAAGAGTAAGCTTGAATAGGTATTTTAGTAATATACTAGGATGAAGAGTTGAAGAGAGAAAAGTCTCTTCACATGGAAACTGGATGTGAGTTGTACAATCTACAGCAAGAACTCGCAAAGTAACTATTGCATTCTTAATATTATGATCATTTCTTCAGGTGAATTACATTATATGACAGCTTAAGTATAAAATATACTGTTAGTTTATTTGGTTTTCTGAGGTTTAGTCTTGAAAATATCCTACACCATCTTAGTCACAAAAATCCTGCATATTCTTAATTCCACGATGAGGAAACTTTACTATGCAATTTGCTAATAGTCAAATACGTAACCAATAGAATATGTTTTCAAAACCTAGACTGTGCTGAAACATTTCGGTAAAAATAGCCAATATTTCGCAAATAACACCTAGAATAAAGCCATTACTGTGAAAATATTTTGGCTTATTGGCTAAAGCACTGATGAATGCAATCTCGTCTTACAGAAGCTGTTACTTATAGGTTCTTTGGAACTAATTTTCGTGCCTGATTGATTAGTTGGGTATCATCTCGCCCACTGCTTAGAATAAACTAGTTGTAAGGACCATAGAATTCGTTTATTAGAATTGGACTTGCATCCCTTTACATGTCTGAATAACTTCACTAATTATATCTTTTATTATTATTATTATTACTATCTCTTTTCTCTTGTCGACGATACCGAAGGACTAACTGGCGAAAGGATCAACTCCAATCACAGTAGTAACAGTCTTAACACACCTCATACTACAAACCACATATAATTAATCCCAGCACTACTCCCTTTGGAGTCAACCAAAGCTACGACAGTCGAGTGGCGGGACAAGCTACGCAGAAGTTTACCGAAGATCAGGAATCTATACCTTACAATCAAGAAGCGAGCACAAAGAAATCAAATTGGTTTATACTAGCTCGTAAAACCGATATTGGATGTGATCAAATTTGGACATTAGATGCTTCATTTGTTGTCACGAATGAACTCTTGATTCAAGATCAGGAGGTTGCTAATAAATGTTTTCTGTCTTTGCCTTCTAAACTTAGAAGTACTCTTTTCTCCGGTTTAGACTTTACTTGTAAGTTTCAATATCCAAAAAAGTTTTCACCAGTGTGTGTAAACCAATTTGACTTCTTTATTCACGCTTCTTGATAGTGAGGTAAAGGTTCCTGGTCTTCAGTAAACTTCTGCGTAGTTCATCCCGCCACTTGACCGTCAGAGCTTTGGTTGACTTGTAATAAAGACACAGGTCAAAAGTTGATTGCATATATTAAAACATATACGCCGGAATTTCCTTGCTTCCGGTAAACGAGATTTACTGTTAGAGTTCGTTTACCAAGAGTAGGGAGTTTTAACGGAACTTACGACTAGGTGTTACGTCTATTTTAATCCAAAGTTCTATAAGGATTTACACTATCTTTAGTACAGCATACAGAGAAATCAAGTTGTATCTGATCAATCTAATTTTTAGGCCACAATTAATAAAAGCACACAAAGGTAGGGAAAAGAAATGCGATCAATCTACAATAAACAAAAATGTTCGGAAAAAATATCTGATTGTAGAATAATGAGGACTTTCATATGAAATATCATAAGGGGTTGATGCATATACGCCACTGCAAAAGGTTCTAGGTCATGTTACCAGGAATCTGGAAACGTTCTTTCATAGCTCCAATTTAACTCTGGCTGCACAAACCTGAGCAAGTGCAGGGCAGCTGGAATCCCTGAACCAGTGGTTGGAAGACGAGTACCTAGATCAGGGAGCCGCAGCTCCATGGTGAGGCACTCATATCATAGATGCTCTCCTTGTTTCTTTGCTCAGGAAGACTTGCAGTCATTTTACCACTATGAAACCTTTGCTCCCCATCACGTTGTGAGTCAGTCGAGATAAATCTCTTTGACTTATCCACCTCTAATGAAGCTACAGAAATCCACTTTTTGGCTGCTTATTTTGTATACCACTCTTTGTGCTACTGATTGGATATACTGCAAGGCTTCCTTATGATGATTATTTCCGCCATAATCATATAAACGTTTGATTATCTCCTTCTCAAGTTCTCATCTAAGAGTTCGATACAGGAGAACTTCATTGGTTTTCTACGTCTATCTATTTGCAGATTAGATCCAGAGGGATTTATTTGTTTTTCTTTACTAAAGGGGTCAATTTACTATTCAGATGGACCGGTTAACTTCATGGAACATATGCATTACTATTTAATATATATATATATGTAATATATGTAATAATATATATATATATAATATAATAATGGATGCAAAAATGTTTCAGAGGTAAAAAACAGTCTTTATTACTACAATAGAAACAAACAAATCATTGCAGCAAGTATATAGAAGCAAGAATCACATAAAGTTAAAAAACTCAGGTCTTTGGATGCTTTTTTGATCCCCTGCAAGAAATACTAATCAATGACAGAGTGTCTTGTGGTCAAGTATCTTATAAAGCCTAGTAAAAATGTGGAATAAGAATAAGTTATAGGATGTAAACTGAATTAATTTACCTCACTGTAACGTGACCGTAGATATTGACGAAACGAATAGAATAAATATTCGTGTTGATGCATTATGTTTCCCTAACATACTGATTTGTCTAAAGAGTACAGAGCGGATAAGACTAGTTTTCAGAGTGTAGATATATTATTATGGGCCAATATTTGTAAAATAGGTATAGCGATTCATTCCACTTAAAGATTTTACTCGTCACTCATATATCTTGGCATTGAGACAATTCACGCCTGAAGCTTGAAATAAGAATTTAATTCCTTGAAAGCAGCTGAGTGAAGTTAGCATCTCAGTGGAAAATCAATTTCTTTACGAAAAACGGAATCACTTTATAATTCGAAGTAGGCGAAGAATCGCTTCAAAAGTCTATATTTAAGAACTATGGCATCTGCGTTTCCCTCTGCTGAATCAGGCACATGAGTTTGATGATAACCTTATTAAAAGCCACAAATACATATTTCATCTTTTAAATTACCTGGTATTTCACACCAAGTGTAACTGGTATCTGACTGTACTAGGCCCTAAATATAATAATCCTCACAATTGGAGTCAGAGAAGTTACAAGGTGGAATATCATTAAAGTCACAAAACATCTTCGGAAAACCAGCGTGAGAGGTTACAGCATGGAAAATCTTATTCACTACCTCAATATATGTTTTTGAATGTATGTACGTTTTATTAAACAGACTAATCTCAAATCAAAATAGCAGTTTCCAAATTAATTTGAAATTTACATAGTTTGAAGTGAAATTTCACCACAGTTTCCTTTGGAAACCTAAATTATCCAAATCACAGTATCTGTTCTGCTTAATACCATAAATGGTAATCAAGAAAACAAGCATAATTGTTTACACTATGCACTACTGACTGATTGAGGTGAGTAGTTGTATACAACTCATACCAACAAGTAGTGCTCGCCAGCGAGATTGAAGTTATCCAACACAATAGCGGTTTCACTCATTCGAGGATGAGCTCATCAGCGGTGTACCTGGTCTGACTGATCTAAAAACTTTTGCACAAGGTTATCATATCTAAGTAGCATTTATGATCACTTTTAGCAGCCAAAATAACATGATTACCCTTACCGCTTTCCTGATATGAGGCAAACATGCAAACTGTACCAGGTAAACAGTATAGTTGTCACCAAAACGATCTGCATAGTCTTCATGTCTTTTATTGCTGTTTACGGTGGTTGTGTTTCATCAGTGTGACTGACTATAATCAATGACTTCGTACAGAAGATGAAGAGAGTATTCAAACCTAAGTATAAAGCAAACTTCAACCTTCATTTTGTGTGAAGATAAAAAGTGCATTCATAGAAATCCCTTGCTTGTATCGATAATCCTATCGACAGGTAAAATTTAATTCTCTACAGAGAAGCAAAATGTATTGATTAAAACTATTTTGAACTTAATGTATGCTGAACTGAAGTGCTTGGTCTGTCTTGACATGTCGGCTCCTGGCACGAACGGTTTAATGACGCCTTAAGGTTAACACGACCTCACTTGGTTGGTGGAGGCTAATTGTAATATCCTGGACTCATGTTTTGTATTCTTCGGGACTCTTCAATGAGTGGTGGTGTACTGTTTGGAATTGTAAGCAAGACTGATTATAGTTAAAACTCGAAATCGTTATTTATTAAATTATTGGGATAATGGGAGGGTATAAGATGATAGTTTTAAGATCCGATATAAGTGGGAGGGGGGAAGGACTTATAACGGAAGCTTTACTTATTGAATCAGCTAAAAACAAGTGAAACAGAAATGATTCAACATCTGTCCAGGGAATCTGTAAACTTCCACTACCCCTACGAATAACAAGAAGGACTAAATAAAACTGTGAAACTGAAGTTTCGAAGTTGTTTAGTTATACTTGATGTGATTACGAACAATAAATTCAGTTCGGAATGTCATCTAGTAAATAATACTGTTTCACTGTGTGATGCATCTAATAAATTACTTACTACCACAGGTTTTACACATTAATTTGTATGTTATTTTCAATATACATTGAAATTTTGATGTACATAATTAATGTAGCAGGCATGATAATAAGATTTTAAGTACATAAACAATATTTGTTTTATAAACCTCCAATTGTAGATTTCAACTACAATTAGACAAGAAGCATAATGAATATACAGAACATCATAGGAATTGCGAAAATGTGCAAAATAAATTAACAACTCTTCGTGAAAGTTATCAGAAATCGGTGAAAACAATGTTTGAAGAAACCAAGAAAATGCATTCTATGCGAGATGAAGTAGATGCATTGTGTTTAAGATTGTACTACCTCAATAAAGCTAAACAGGATGTTAGCGGAGACTTAAAAGTGTTGAAAAGAGCAGCTGAAAAGGTGAACTCAGATTTAACCAAGGTCAGTCCCACAATCGGCTGTTGTCGTTAATTAGTGCAACCAACTTATTGGAAAAGTAATAACACTATTAACCTGTTGTTTAATATTTATACTGAGATTACTTGTTGTTCTTATTTGTTCATATATCTTGGGATATCTCAAATTTATGTTCCTCTAACAAATCAAACTACTTTTTTATTAAGCAACTTTATCTAAATAAGATGGAATCATAGTGTATGTGTCTAGCTTGCTAAACACTAAAAAGGAAAAGCCTGGATGAATCAAATTTGACAACTAAACAGAAAACATGAGTGGAAGATGGATAATAATATAAGTAGTGAAGATAATTGGGAGTAGCAGGTGCAATTTTCACCCAGTTGGAGGTCAATCTTAGTAACATTAGGGGATATTTTCATTCAGTGATTATCAAGAAGTCTCTGGCTAATATCATGCGGGCTGAATTCGACTGCAGTCAGTAACTACAGTGGTTGCTAATATGTTTTCCGGTGTACTGCCTATTAATTGTTTGTAAGAGATTGTATATAACGATGAGTCAGTATTAAGGGAAATAATTGTTTGTGCTAATACATTAGTCCGGTCGGTATCTCTTGCATTCATAACATTCTATTTATTACTCGGCATTCAAGAAAGTTGTTTCAAGGTCATTGATCAACCGTAATTTATGCAAGCCAAACACACTTAAAACTTCAACCAGATTTCTGCCATCTTTCTGCTTCATTATATCATGAGTCGAAATGACAGTGAAGTGTATTGGGTTTAAATTCTGTGGTGTTTATCAGGTAGTCAGTCAGGAAACTCGATATTTAATGACAAACAAGACAATTTAACATGACGATTCTCATCTTTATTTAACTTTTACCAATCATTCCTTCACAAACAGAAGATAGTTAACTTAGATATAAAAAGCAAGTATTGTCAGTGACTTAGTGTTTGGATTTCTAATCCACAGTGTCTATATTGAGGAAACACACAGTTGTATTTCAAATATTTTTACCACGGAAGACAACAGGAAAGCTGAACTACAGACTGACTATAATCAATGAATTCGTTACAAAAGATGAAGGGAGCATTCAAACTCAAGTATAAAGCAAACTTCAACCTTCATTTTGTGTGAAGATTAAAAGTGCATTCATAGAAATCCCTTGTGAAGGACTGATCAAGATGACAAAATAATCTCTTCATTTGTTGACACAAAAATAAAGACATTATATACGGAACTGAAAGTTGGTCAAATTATTTATTAAACAGATAATATTCCAAGACTATAAGGTGAATAATATTTGGCTGTTATGCAATAATTTACTTTCAGTTGCATTATTAAATATGGTTAGAAACCATTTTTTGTTGTATATACAACATAGGTTTTAATTTTTCATAACGCTAAGGCCGTTTTTAAAAACAGTGCCATAAAGCAGAGTGGTAATAAATGACGACACACCTTAAAACTCCATTTAAGCTTTTTTGCTTCATGAAGCCTACGGCCATACTGTAAAATAAACAGACCGGTATTTCCTGTACAATTTATTGCTTCAAATAATGCGCTTTGGAGTGCACTGTAGTTTTTCCAAATATCTTGGTAAAAGCTACTGAATTTCGGCAATTTAAGGAGATTGGACGATTTTAACTGCGTGCACCTTTGTTAGATCTCTCATGTGAAGTGAAGCAATGTGGTTTTCAGTTGTATCGAAGCTGGTTACTGGATACACTTCAAGGAGTCGAAGTAAATCAATGATTCCGATAAGCTACACCCTTCAGGACGGTTAGGATATGTGTTCCGTATATCAACCCACCGGATTCCTGAAATAAGACAATTGTTAGCTGAAATATGATTAGGTTGGAAAATGGTTGTAGGTGGTCAGATGAGAGTACGGTACTAATCCATGAGTGCTGTGACTATTGGTCGTAACAACTAGTGAGAAGTAGACTGCTTATCAAGTCGTTCTTTTGTCTTTTGTGTCTTTAGTTTGAAGAAGAAAAGCTGCAACAGGATCTTTTGGTTGATCGTATACAAACTAAGGTGGACCAGTTGAAAGAAGATATCGAATTATATGAAGCCCAAATTTCAGCTCAAGAAATCGAAATGAATACTAGTCAGAATCTATTATATGAAGCGGAAGCCCAAATCGTTTCTATCAATGTGGACAAATCTCACTTGTTAGCTCAATGGAAAACTAGTTTACTTGGTTTACAGCGTAGAAATGAAGCATACACTTCATTGTTGAAAGCCTATAAGTAAGTTTCATCTTCTTACGGAAGCTGTTTGATGTGAAAAATAATACATGTGTGTACAAAATGTTTAACTGTTTTGTTACTCGGTCAAACGTAAGCTTTGTATAAACGTTGAACAGCTTGTGCTGGAACTATTTGAGAGTGAGTAATTTTATTATCTTTACAAGTGGAACAAGTAATAAAGTGTACGGTACATATTTTCTGTGTGGTTTAAAGGTTTACTTAGTTTAAGTTAATGTCTCATGAAAAATCTATTAGTCAGGAAACCAGATTAAATTACTATATTTGGCAACTAAATTGACAGTTACTAATGTTGTAGCTGAAGTAAATAGTAAGCTAAAAACAAATAATTTGTTGAAACTTGTTTTCTTTATTGATAAAATGGTTATTTAGAGTCAATCATTATTGTTTGTAATGGGAAACAACTGAAGTAGCCCCGAAAATTAGTTTCCTCATTACTGGCTACAGTAACAAGAGTAACTTTTGCAACTGTTTTTGATGCTGAGATTTTGAATGATCTCTTACTTTATCTCTCTGGGCTTAAAGTATGCATTTAGTGAAATCAATGAGAAGAATGATGCTAGCGAGTAGAAAGCAACATATGTAACTGATATTTATCTGCATATTCTTTCGTGCCTAACTGACTTTATACAATACATATCTTTTTTTGCTGTTGACTCACTGTTTATTCCATGTAATCCATTTTGCTAAAGGTGTCAGACTGCTTACGCTTACTGACTAAGCTTTGAAAATTGTGGAAATTATATATATATATATATATATAAGTCGGCGGCACAGTGTTAGGACTCTCGTCGACCATGCACATGGTCCGGGGTTCGATCCTCTGCCGACGCACACCTGATATCTATGGTCGGCCTGCAAAATTTGGGCTACCGATATCACATACTGAAAATTCCATACTTGTACCGAAAATACAGTGTGGCATCAAGCTGTAATAAAATATATATATATATATATATATATTATATTTTTATCGTCCAAAGGTGTAACGTCCCCATAAAAAAACTCATTGGGGTTTTTGACTTTACGTAGCGAGTGGAACATAGAGCTTTAAGCTTGAGCTGTGGAGTTTCAGTAGCGATGGTGTTGTTTTTACGGAAGGGATTTACAAGCCTCATGCCCAATGTTCCATCTTCACTGGTCTGACTGACAGTTGAGCTAGGTTTCGGAGAGAGTCGGCTGGGAATCGATCTCAGACTGCTTGTATGGTTTGCAAGCATTCTAACACTCAACCACTGAAGCAATTTCCTATGGTAAGTTGTATATTTGACAGCTTTCTGTGCTAATAAGCACAATACTTCCATTGATAATTTGCAGCCGTATAGAGAATGTTGATGCAATATTTTAACAAAAATTTAAGCAGTGCTCAGGAGCGTAATGGATTTTTTGTGTTGAGTGATTTGATAAAGTCGGTCAAAGTTATTATAGTAGCCTTCTCAATCAACACCTTAAGTATTTTAGGATGAGTTATGAGTTTATTCTTTACGTGTTTGAAAGGGAAGACAATTAGGAAAGGCTTTTCACTTCACCAGGGTTCAAAGCATATATTGAAATTTCCACCATTGGTAAATATTAAAAATCATTTTCCACTATGATCATCTTGATAGTTGTTCCTTTATTATCCCAGTAAGCATCATATCATCTCAGTAGATAAAACTTTACGCTTTATGTTGAATATAGATTAGAAGTGGAAAGGATTCTAAATTAGCGTTATCAAACATGAGACATAGTTTTGAGAAGGTTAAAGCTTAAAGTAACACATAAAGCTTAGAAATAAACTTTGAGATTTTTTTACCATTGTTGTTTTCATTACTTCTACTTACAGTCAATTAAAAGAAGAATCGCTTGTTCTCGAAAATGAACAATGTGCCTATAGGCGTTCAATCGGCAAGGAACAAGAAACTCACGAACGTCTAACATCATTACAAAATAAAAATGAATCAGACTTAAACACATTGCGTAAACAGTTATTGCAGGCAGAAACTAAACTTGAAGCTGATAAACAAGCTTATACAGCGTATTCAAGAATGCTTCAGGAAACTGAACGTTGTCTGAACAATGCTAAAACGGTAAGACATATATATATATATATAAGTGATAAGGTTGTGCACTTTGAAAATACTGTGACTACTCAAAGCAAAACGAAGCCAAATAAAAGAAGGAAAAATACATACACACATAGCAACCTTGCTTTATCTAATATGAAGTAAATGATCAGTGAATGTGTTCTTAGAACTAAATTTGATCGTCCATTATAGATAAGATTTTATTTGGATAAACAATAGGGTGTCTGTGGCTGTTTCTTAGAAAGTTAAGGCATATATCTACGAATCGTATTTGCACATGTTAAGTCTGCTGTGATTATTTAGTGAGTTCCTCAAGTTAATCATGAGCTTTGTTATTGTATTTTCTCATGACTCCGATTCGGGCGTAAACATTGACGTAAATTGTTATCTACAATTTTGGCTTGCAGACAGCTCTCAATAAAACTTGGTATATATATATATATATATATATATATATATATATATATATATATATATATATATATATATAGAATATATTGCATGCACTCTAACTCTCATGAAGAAATGAGGTGAATTATAATGGAGTTAGTAATCGATTCATTCATAAACTGACTTCAATAAGTTTTTCATTTTTTTGAAAGGTTAAAATAAATAATGATTAATTACAATATTTTACTTCACTGTTTTAACCCTTTTTATCACAGGAGAATAATGCTGCTCAAATGAATGTCAAGAACATACGTAAACAGATTGAGAGAAAAGTGTTAGAGAAACAAGAGTTAGATAAAAAGATTACTGAAGAACTGAGGTCTCGATTAACTGCACAAAAAGCTGCTAGTTATGTTAACAAAATTAACATGAATGTACAAGATCAAAGCAGAGAGCTGCTGACTCAAGTATGTCATAATTAGCTTCTGACCGTTTTTTTATATAATCTCCAAAAGTAAGGCAATCTTAGCTGATTAAACAACAGTGTTTAATTTCCAATATTGATCAGCTGACTAAATTACCAAGTCGTAGGTTCCTTAAATGTAATGTGTGTGATGATTCAAAATATTGAGTAAATTGATCAAAATGATGCTTTACAGTGCAATGATATCGAAAATTTCATTTAACAACAGAAAAGATAAACCTCATACGAGAAATGATACACATATAGTATACACTGCTACATGTGTCACTAAATAAGAATTACTGCACCCCAATATTACCTATAAACATGTAGTGCATACATAAAGCACGCGGCTGAAAGCATACATACAGCTGGAAATTTTCTCTTAACTGCACCAGATCTAAACTGTAACCACTTGTCGAAGGTAGTATTTGTCTCCTGATTATGATTAATTTACATAATACTGTTTGCAGTACCATAGATTAGTAGTACATTATTATCGCCAGTTGGTGCTAAAAATAAACCAAACACCGCACTGATAATCATATCTGTCAATTTTGTTTTCTGTTTAATTAATAATTCCAACTTTTTAGAAACTATAGTTAGAAAGCAAGCCTTATCACTGGAGTGTAGTGGTTTTCAAATAGCAATTGCTAATAGTAAGCCATGGATAGTTTCCTAGTAGACTTTCATCGACTCAACTAGTAAATGAGAAGAATTACACAATGGTGTTGGGACGGGCATCCTACCAGGGAGAGCAAGCGATAATTCAATAATCTTAACGGTATTTGTAATATTTTGAAGTGATAGCGACACATGGAGCAGGAAAACAAAGATCCATTTTATCTCGTCGGCTTCTTACCAACTGTTAACAATTTGAATAATGAGAGTTAATAGTTTTGCTTGATATTACTAGTCGATATCTCATATTACCTACTCCACATCGGGGATGGTGTCCAAAGAGCACTAGGAAGCTCTGCACTGTGTCAAGGATGACCAAATAGTAGTAATAACACGGGACAAAGGTTCGAGTCTTGTAGTAGTGAATACGGAAGAGTAAATTTACAAGATGAGCTCTGTCCTACAGAATTCCCCAAAAATTTAGAATTACTAACTGCCCAAAAGATCTGACTGATCCAACTGAAAGGATGAATCACTAAGATGCTAAAAGATTTCTCGATGAGAGAACTCATAAATAACTCCACATGTAGATAGTTAGAGCGTAGCGAGTCTTGTCTATCCTCTACGTATGGGCTAGTAAACTTGCACAAGGAGGTGTCCTGCTTAGGTCCGTGGTAAATTCATCACATCACAGAGTAGCTTGTTGGCTGACCAAAAATTGGAATCCAGTCGCTGATAGGTTCCATATGGCCATGACAGACTCGTTTCGTTTCGTCGAAAACCTGAAAAATTCGGATATTTTCGAATGACTTATGGTGTTATTTCGTGCAACTCCCTCATTCACCAATGTGGCTTCTCATGAATCTATAGATATTATGTACCAGAAGTCTGATCTTTCCAACTTACCAACTTACAAATTCAGACACCCACTACTTATATGCCTTCATGAGATTCAGTTCCAGATTATCAACTTATTTTATCTCCAAGTTGATAGGGTAGCGATGAGAAGCCCATCTTGTCCCATATTGGCGGATCTGTTCTTGGTGAAATTGATGGAAAATATCCGAAGAGTGCATGACTTGGGTACCATTTGTGTAATGTGGTAGAGGATAATTCCATTATGGATAAAGATTTTATTTTGATAAAGTCTCGGTGTTATACAGTAATATATTTAGTGATGATAACGTCTCCAGCACAATTTATTGCTAGTAATCATATCACGGCATTCTCCATAATGGAGTCTGAAAGGTACAATCGAAGAAATGACTTGTTTCACTATGTATGGTAATGTTACCACCATTGAGTTTAATCGCTTATCTCATGCATCTGACTTATTAGAAAACTTTTATGATACCCACAAAAACATTAATTTCACCACGGAATATATAGCTGTTGGAAAATTCAACATTCTAGATGTCTCCATAGAATGCACGACAGATTATGCATTACGAATATTCATCCATCCAAAAAGTACATAGAGTCGAAGTTATCTGAATTTCAACAGATTTAATCCGACTAACTGCAATCAGTCACTAGTCAAAAATTATTTCACAGGAGTGGGGGCGATACTCACCACTGACACTTACTAGTGGTGGATTAGAGGAGGAGCTGGACAACATATTGGAAACTATAAGAGTCAACGGATATCGTCAAGGATTTATTGACAGATTTGGAAATAGTGAAAGTAAAAGAATAAAAATGTCACAATGAATAAAAAGCTGGTATTCATCCGCCAAAAATTTAAACGTGATGAAATTGCACAGATAACCGACAGACGAATTAAGAAATCCTTAAGTAATACTTTTCTCGCGTCCAGAACGATTTCTTTATACCAAACGGTATATTCTCTTACTCAGTCAAGAGTCAGCATTTACCCTGGCTCAAACTGATCATATCAATTTACATGTGTAGTTGCTGAAGCAGATAAACTTAAAAAGAAACAGAAAGAAATGCTTATCTCCGATTTTCCGAACACATACCGAAAAGCTTGCGATTAGGTACAGAAAGGAATTATGATAAGTCTTTCTGCACCTTGGTGACGTGGCTTTCAATATTTAATTGACAATATTATTTATTACATTTAAATGTTGGGTTTATTTTACTCTTATTCAAGGCAATCTTCATTTATTAAAAATCATAGTCTATATGTCTGATATCTAACTAAATGGATTAAAGTCACAATATTTTTTCGCACAATTCACTCTTTTATTAACAATTTTCTAATGGTCTACGTAACCTTCCCTTTTCTCTAGAAGCTTTGATTGCACTTTTTGCTCTTTGGTAACTCAACATTTAGATTCATCTTCCAACCATAACTATTCTTAATAATTACTCTACATTTTGTCTTTGTTAGGAACTGAAGTATGCTAGAATTGTAATAAAACTATGAAGTTTCATTATTCTGGTTGTAAGCAGTTGATAAGGTACTGACTAAATAAAATAGGTCTGTTTTATCCTACCCTATATGTTGATTTGCTTTGTTCAAATCCACTAAAGAGGATTTGTGTATGGAAGGATAAAATTCAAAACGTATTATGCAATTTAATGGCACAGTTAATTAAGTCTAGTAAGTTTTGATATTTTTATTTTTGATTACAGCTTGATGCCACACTGTATTTTCGGTACAAGTATGGAATTTTCAGCATTTGATATCGCTAGCCCGAATTTCGCAGGCCGACCATAGATATCAGGTGTGCATCGGCAGAGGATCGAACCTCGGGCCATGTGCATGGTCGGCGACAGTCCTAACCACTGTGTCTGACTAATATGATGGGTGGTTATGAATTTTTGTATAGACGTTTGTTAATTTGCCGAAGCAAAGAAGGAATTATCATTATTATTTCATGACTTTTCTTTAAATGACAGATTGTACAAATGGAGAATCAAATTGCTAAAGATGAGTTATGCATAGCACACAAAAAAGCTAGTAATATTCAACTGCAAGAAAGAGTTAATGATTTAGAAAAGGAAATTGACAACAGTAATTTATTAATTACCAAGTTAGAGACTGAAATACATCATGCAAATGTAGCTGTAGAACGTAAACAAGGTAATATTGATATACTGAATAAAAATTGGAACGGTTAATTCGTGAAAGTGGCGTAAGTTTTCTGTCGTGTGAATTTCATTATCATTATTATTACTATTACTATTATTATTCTTAATATTGTTCTATTGGGTACCGAGTGGAATATAGGGCTTCAACGACACACATCCACTTCATCCTGTTCACTATAGCCCTCTTCAGCTGACCACACAATCGATCATATTCTCTTATCTCCTCCTCCTACGATCTCCTCCATGTCATCCTTGGACACCGAACTCATCGTTTTCCATTCAGGTTCCACTAGAGGTATGGCCCGGTTCTCGATGTAATTCGGCGGTGTCTTCAAAGTGCGTCCGATTCATCACCATTCACTTCTGCACACTTGTTGAGCTTCTTGATGGATTTGTTCCTATAGTTTCCAGTTGATAATTCTTTCTGACCATCTGATCTTCAATATGGAGTGAAGACAGCTGTTAATGAAAGTGGAGAACCTGCTAGAAGTGTTTTTCGTGACGCACCAAGTTTCTGACCCATTTGAAAGGACTGACTTAACATTGGTGTTGAAAGTCAAATTTTGTCACCGATACCAAATGCAAAAGATCTGTAAGCCGAGTGATGATGATCTGCCATGCTTTTCCAAATCTGTTTCTGACATCCTCATCCATCTCTCTCGTAGTTGAAATGATGCTGGCCAGAAAGGGAAAGAAAGTGATCATATCGCTCCCGTTGACAGTGGTTGGTTGGTTATCTTCATCATCTCCGTCTTCTCTATTTTCGCTTGAAGTACCATCTTTGCTGCTTCCTTTACTGACTTGTTGACTTTCGCCTCTTGGTCCTCGAGTTTGTGTAACATTAGACATAAATTTTTCATGAATTTCATACCTCCTAAAATCTTCATGTATTTATTTCCGTTTTATGGATTTGAATAAAGGAAGAATCTCTTGAACATTTGAAATAAGTTCATTGCTTTATTTGATACAACCGCCTTAATCCCAAGGATCGAAATCAGTGAGATTATCGAGATCATTTTTCAGCATTCTGATCTTCTGCACTACTAGTATCGGAATTCAAATGGCTACTGCTAATATGTACCACGTATGTGCAATTCCAGCTTAACAACACTCTTTACCACCAAAGATTGTGTAGCTTCGGACAGTCTATTTAGCCCTATTTTAGCAGATATCTTCATGCCTAGTCTTGAAAAAACAAAGTTGAAGCATGCAATCGACGAAGCAACTGCTAATTGACGATGTAAAGGTGACACATTTATGGTGTGCAGGAATGAAAGTCATACACCCAACCTTCTCGGATTTTTCGACGACGCACATACAAATTTACATATGGAACGTGAAAATGATGGAAAGTTTCATTTCCTTGACACTGTCATGCAATGCCTAGAAGATGATAGTCTCCAGAAGTCAGTTTACTGAAAACCTACATAGAAAGGACAATTATTATTATTGTTATTGTTCCCTTGGGTTTCTAAGGGAACATACGGCTTCAACTCCACGTCTCCACTTGATTCTGTCTTCTGCTGTGCTTTTCACTTGCATCCATGTTAATCCATATTCTTTCAACTCCTCTTCACACGATCTCCTCCATGTCACCCTTGGACGTCCCACACGCCGCTTCCCTTTCGGGTTCCAATCAAGCAATGGCCTGACGCTTGCGTGGTGTCACCCAGCGGTCTCCTCAGAGAGCGAGTGTCCAATCCATCTCCACTTTCTCCTGCATATTTGTTGGGCGATTGGTTCTTGCTTTGTTTGTTCCCATAATTCCTTGTTGGTGATTCTTTCCGGCCCGGCCATCTGATCTTCAGTATGGAACCAGCGAAGACAGTTGTTGGTTGATTAAGGTCTGCAACAGGCTGTTGGAAATATTCTTTGTGACTCGCCCGCCAAGTTTCTGATCCGTATAGAAGAACTGAATTTACGTTTGTATTGAAAATCCGAATTTTGTTGGTGATGGTGAGTGACGAAGATTTCCAGATTGATTTCAGGCTGATGAATGTGTTTCTCGCCTTCCGATTCTCGATTTGACATCCTCGTCCGCTTCTCCTGTAGTTGAGACAATGCTCCCTAGATAAGTGAGTGAATGAAGTAACCTCTTTCAAATCCCTTCCGTTGATGGTGATTGACGTTGGATGTTGTTGCTGTTGTTGTTGGTTGGTTATTTTCATAACCTCCGTCTTGTCTATGTTTACCTGGAGTCCTGTCTTTGCTGCTTCTTCGACCAGTTTGTCGGTCGGCTTTTGCTTGTAAGTCTTCGATCGTGTGTGACATCAAACATAAATCATCCACGCGCGAAATCCAGGTCTTCTGGGTTCTTCACGTCGGTCCAGGATATTCCTGTCTTCTCGTTTCCAACTGTCTGACGCATAATCCAGTCCACCACAATTAGGAATATCATTGGTGATAATAAACCAGCACTCTTGTCTGACTCCTGTGTTTACTCCAAACGCCTTGCTGGGTTTTCCGTTGTGGATCACTTGGCAGGTGCCGTTGTAGTACAGCTGTTGAATAAGGTTGATGAATATTTGGGGTACGCCATAGTACTCGAGTAGTTTCCAAATTACTTCATGGTCAACGCTGTCGAAGGCCTTCTCAAAGTCGTTAAGGTTGAGGTACAGTTTTGATTGCGATTCCATGCTTTGTTCTGTGATGATGATGCGTAGAGTTGCAATTTAGTTAGAACATGATTTGCCTTTCCTGAATCCAGTTTGTTCTGGTCGGAGCTCTGTATCCAGTACGATCTTTTTTCTCTCCAGAATGATGCGACTCAGGATTTTACTCGGCGTCGACAGCAGCATGATTCCTCGCCAGTTCTTGCAGAATTCTAAGTCATCTTTCCTGAATCCAGCTTGTTCTAGAAAGGACAATATCTACATTTTAATAATTTTTGTCCAGATAGCTTTAAACAAGTACTAGGCACGACTCTATATTATATATCTACTAGAATATGCCCTACAGAGAAATCAGAGTAATAATTTCTGATTCGCGAAAAGATTTTGAACAACGGTTACCCTCAGAGATTCATTAAAGAGTACAGGAGATGTAAAGGCTCTAATGCCAAACAAATCATAGTGTGAAGAAAGCCTATCTTCATTAAGCTTAATTTTAAAGAAGATAACAGTGCAGGGATAATCAGTAGAAGACTGAATATGTCGCTAGCCAGAGTCTATCCTACAACTAAGCTGGTTCCCGTCTATCGAACAACTTGCACTTTGGTGCAATCGAAATTCGACAGATAACCTTTTCATTTCAACTCCAAATGTATATACAAATTCATGTGTATCTGCGGGAGCATTTACATTAGAAGAACAAAAAGAAGCGCGTACACCTGATTTTTGTAACATGTACCAAAAAGCCTACGTCTAAAGGGAACAAATGCTTTCAATAGGGCCAATACCAGGCATCTCCTTGACACGGATCATGAGGTGGAAATCGCGAAATCCTCTAAAATAATGAATAGACAAAGGAGCTCGATTCTCCTCCAGTTTGCCGAAGCGATTTCTATCAAACGCTTAAAACTGGATTCATGTGTTCATAAAGAAGCAGTTATTAGTCTGTCCTTGCCATGGCAACTGGATGTCTTTATTCCCTCATCTGATTACGTAATCTTTGGCTTTAACTTCACACCCTTTTATGATTTGTAAATCTGCTTGTCTCCTGTTTCTGTGATTTGAGTTGAACTCAGTACATTGTTACCTAATTTGTTAGGCACTCAGCATTATACGCATCTTTCGTCTTTATTACGTAACTCCTTTACCGTTGTATGCATACATTTATTTTGTTTAAACTTGAACTGCCTTTGTAAAAACTATAAAGGCGCAATTTTCTGAGCACTGTTCACTAACTGCGGAACTTTCTGTCAACTGACATCACGGAAACAAATTTGCAAGTATGTTAAAACTTTTCTGCACGTAAACCTCATAATTCCTTTAGGCTGTAAGCGAGCACCTTATTTGATGAGAAGCCAACGAAATAAGTGATGGTTCCATATTATTCTGCACAAACGACTGTTGTTTTTGCTTTATTTAAATTCATCAAGAGGAATAAATGCATGAAGAAACTACTGATAGACTTAACTGTTTTGCTTAGGAATGCGGAAGAAGTGACTTACTTTAAATTTCTTCAGTTGATATTGGTTGGTTCTTGTTGTTGGTTAGGTGTGTTCATCACTTGAAGTCCTGTCTTAGCTTCCAGTCTCTTCTGGCAACAGGTTGGGTTGCGCCTGTAGATCGTTGGGCTTTTTGTACCACTAAACATAAATCATCTGCGAAGTCCAGATCATCTAGAACCTTTTCTGTACGACAACGTGTGTCCTTCACCTCTCTTCTCATGGTCTGTCGTGTGATCCAGTTCACCACAATCAGATATATTGTTGGTGATATCAGTCGGCCTGGTCTTACTCTTGTCTTTACTTCTCAGGTTTTGCTGAGCTTTTGGTTATGAACTACTTGACATGTTTCATCTTCATATAGCTGTTAAATGGAGTCGGTAGAGGTTTGGGGTACTCCTTAGTATTGGGTATGGTCAATATTGTCAATGGAGTTTTCAAAGTTGATGAATTTGAAGTGAAGATTTGTCTGTCATTCTACGGATTAGGAATAATTTACACATATCTAAGGATAATTTGTTCCCATCCTTTTCTTTTGTCTTATTTGTTTAAAATCAAGGGCCAAGAAGTTGGACCATTAGATGCGCAAATAAATAACTTAAATAAAGCAATAACCAGCAAGCAAGATGAAATTGGTGAACTTGAACAACAGTGGCTAAAAGAGCAAAATGAATTAGTAATAAATATTAATGAACGAGATAAGCTCTCCGAATCTGCAACACGAATAAGCAAGCAGCTGTCAATCTTAACACAAAAGAAAATGCGGGTTGATAGTAAGTTCATAACTTTAGAAATTTAATTGATCTTCGTAGCAGTTTTGAAACAGAAAACAGCTTCAAGAAGTAAATAATTATATATTTATATATAATAAACCTCTGATATACACCGTTTACTTTTTCACGTTTTTCCCTCAGCTGTACAGAAACCAAATACTGTATTATTTAATCGTTGCAGGATAGTAGTTATTGTTCCTTCGCACATCTATAAATTAACAGATTCTACTTACACATTCACAATGATTAAACACCTAGATTAAAGGAAAACACACAAATTTATCCCCGCGTCGGTGGTACAGCGGTTAGGACTCTCGCCGACCATGAACATGGTCCGGGGTTCGAGCCCACACCGACGCACACCTGATATCTATGATCGGCCTGCGAAATTTGGGCTACCGATATCCACGCTGAAAATTCCATACTTGTATTAAAAATACGGTGTGGAATCAAGCTGTAATCAAAAAAAATAACATAATAATTATTATTATCACCTTGATTACAAACCACTGATTAATATATTTGAAATTTAATTTTACCTACCATGTTGTTATGAGATATTGGTTTTTAATAATGTTAATCTACAATTGGAATATCTGGCAGAAAAATACCAGTTGGCGGTATTTACTGAAACTGTTTTCATCACACATGACTCTAAATGTGTGGTAAAAGTTCATAAACTAATACCCGCCTAGTTATGACCGAGTTATCTGATACAATGTTGTAGTGTTTTTAACTGGCACCAGTTTTGCATCAGTTGCCAGTTTACAGTAAAAGTGTCTTTTGTCTTTCTTTATGCTCGTTATCACTTTGTTGACTGCTTTAGCATTAATTGAAAACATTCATTTCCCGATACGAATTTAAAACAAGCAATAAAGGTTAATAAAGCAGGATTTAATGATGGATTCATCAAATGTCGGTCGAACTCGTCAGCTGAATACTCTACATACACGGATAAATATACTTTTTAAATTACATTGGGAGATATAAGACTGATAAGTAAACAAACTACACTGAATTAATCATGCAGAAAGACACGTGCGAATGTTTTCCAGGTCGTTTTCAAATAGATAAGGGGAAAAAGAGTATGAGAGATCAAAATTAAGATAAATTGCATTACGCTTCAATTACATCACTTAGATAAACAATTAGTCATTGGGGAATACAACAAGAATTGCAAACAGAGTAATATCAACAGTAATAGTTGCAATAACAATCATAATAGTGTTGAAGTGGGTTAAGATAATCCTACTGATAAAGGATAGTTTTAAATGAATCAACAACAATGATAGTGATAATAACAATAATAATGATAATAATAAGAGGTAGAATAATAAGTAATAAGTAGATTCAGAGTCACGACCATCTCTTTTTGTACACAGAGACCTGATTTATAAACTCGAATTGCACAAGCCTCTGCAATTGCAAGCATCCTCGTGTTTCTTTGTCTGCGGACAATAGTGAACCACTTCACAGCGTCGATATCATGTCCATAGTCCACAAGATGTTTTGTTATTGAGGATTTCGACACTTTGCACTCAGCTGTTTTCAACCATTTTGGCAAATGCTCTATCATGCGAGTAGACAATCGTCTTTCTGTACGACCTATGTATTTGCTTCCACAAACACGCTCAAATTGACATATGCAAATTGAAGTGTCGAGGATTGGCGACTGGTCTTTTCCAGATTGTTGAAGCACTTGCTTAGTGGTGTTAAAGAAAACAAGTTTTGCAGCATAATAAGTTCCCTTGATGGCTTTGTCGAGTCTTCGTTTGACTACTTCCTGTACATCATCTCCTTTGAACGGCAAACTGATATAGACAGATTTCTTCGGAACTGTTTGGATTGTTTTGCAGGAGCCAATTTCTTTAGAGTATTTATTAATGAACTTCTCAGGATATCCATTCTTACGTACAGTATCCTTCATAGCTTTTATTTCATGCTCAATAGTACTGTCAGAACAAATTTTAGCCTTAGCATCACCTTAATTAACAGAAGAGGTGTTTACTATGCTGTCATTATTTACAAAAATATAATATTTCATTTGGATTTGGAATCTAATTAATTGTAAAATAGTGAAGAATCTATGCATTTACATGAGGTTCTATTATTGGCATTCAGCTACCACTTCTCATTCATTTAACGCTTAATCATTATCACTGTAAGTTATTATTCCATATCTTTTATCATGGGCACGTATTTAATCTTTTTTAACACTCTTAAATCAACTTTTACAAATTTTACTCTTGTTATTATCAATCCTTTTATGTTGTTTTTCTGAAAGATGAAATTGCGATTCAAGTACGTGAAAAAAATGATCTCGAGAAGGAATTAAGACACTTACAAAACGACATAACAAGGATGAATACAATGATAGCTAAGGAGAAGACCAATGAAGAAAATTTAAACAATGAAAATAAGTTGGCTGAAATTGACTTTGTGCGCTCTTTGAAAGAGAAAGAAACTGAAGCGGCCAATTTGCAAGAAAAAGTTGATCAAACTCAGAAGGATAAAGAAAATTTACTCAATGAATTAGTTGAGGTAGAGTAAGTTGACTAACAAACAAAATTTATTTCAAGTTCATTTTTGTCCAGCCTTCATAGAGGTCTGTTGATCAGTGTTTTGCTCACAAATGTTTTGTTTCCACGCTTTCCTCAATGTGACTAATATCAATCGTATTAATCTAGTAAAATTTATCACAGGAGGCATAGCATGGTATGCTTGAGCAAGATAATATAATGATAAACCTCAAAAAATAGAGAAATACACATTTCACCCTTAAATGTTGTTAGTTTTTTCTTGCGTTCCAAACGGAACATAAAGATTCATCAACACATCACTATCTTACTCTGTTGTCTGTCGTCGTTTTTATCTGACTGTAAAACTATCCACAAGCTTTCATTTCCTCTTCATATGACCTCCCTGATGGCTCACTCGGACACCTAAACTGTCACTTTTCATTCGATTTCCATCCTTATGAGAGATGTCATCTAAAGGCCTCTCTAGCGAATGTCCAGTTTCTCTACATTTCTTTCTTTATATTTGTTGAACAACAGGCTCTTATTCTGTTTGCTATCTGCTAGAGTTCTTTGTTGCTTATCTTTTCCGGTTGACCGTTGCATTTTCAGAGGCCAGCTGGTGATGAAAGTCCGCAGTAGCCTGTTTGGAGTGCTTTTGGTGATGCAGAAACACTGACTTGACACTTGGATCTTGCTCCTCGGAGATTTTCTCAGTCTACTAACGGGTCTTAAGCCTGTAAAAGGCGAAGTGTTGGATTTAGGGATACCAAACCTCCTCGGTAAAATGCAACCCGCTTGTCATTGAAATATCAAAACATAGAAAGACATAAGCTTGTTCTCAAGAGAAATTAGATAAGGGAAATAAATCACTCTGGCTGAAGTTATAAGGAGGGCATCCAACCGTTGTGTATTCTACTGGTGTAAGCAAAGCAGTATTTCCTTGCAATCCATTTGCTTTTGGAAACGGTAACTGCATCATCCCGATCAGGTGTATTGTTGTTCAAGCAAGCACAATTTTACACTTCACCTGAATATTAAACCTGATTAGTGACAACTATTTCCGCTCCGTTTTAATCTATCCAGAACGTACGGAGATGAAAAGTGGTTCGTAAAGTGTTGTATTCATTTTCTGACGATTGGCTTCTGAAAGCTAACATCAGATTCAGAAACTTTGTTGTGAGTAAAATTCAGAATAATCTAATTATCATTTGAGACTAAGACAAATGACAGTCATTCAGCTAGTTATCCACCCTTGTTGATTACAAACATTTTATAATTTAAATTCTTGTATCTTCTTATTGAAGGCTATCATGAAATGTATCATTAGCTTTCACAGTTGCACACTTTACCTTTGTTCAATACCCTTCTATAGTTTTATTGTGCTGTCGCGTAACACATTTTGCTGAAATATTTGGGTTAAGCTATTAAAAAGCATCCATCCAGTCCTTGTTTCTTTCCATCAACACAAACTGAAATAACAGGATAAGCAGGTGCACTATACTCAGTATGAGCGGTTAGTGTTTTCTGGTGTATTTGTACTAGCTGTGTACGTCTAAGTTTTGGTCATTTAACACGGCTTCGTAATAGAAGGTTTATTGATATTTGTCTGGTGGATTTTGGCAATGCAGAAGTTGGTTTTTAATTAAATCCTTTTTAACGTAGTGTGGCGCTTTCTGTTATTTTGACAAGTTGTTTACCGGAAACAGTTTTTACTGATATTTTTATTGCCCGTTGGAAGTGGGCAAAATACATGAGTGTCACTTTTCAGCTTACTTCATCTGTTTTGTGTTACCAAATGCATATATATAAATAAGCTCAAGAAACCTATTTTTTCTATGAAATCTACAAGTTTTGCATGTATATGTTTATTTCCCCTTGTTCCCTAGTTTCCAACCATATTATTAAAGAATTGGATACACTCAGAGTTTAGATTGATTGAAAAGGTGCACTAGTATGTATATTGGTATCTCAATTAAAAATGACATCCATAACCAGATACTTCACTTAGTTACTAAATTGAGAGATTCTCCTTATATGAAAAGGATACATTGAGGTTTGAATATCATCTGGATTGTACCGTTCAGTACTCAGAAAGATATGATGACAATACCGTAATTTCCTACTAACCAGATTTCATTCCAGCCTGTCATAACCGTTATAATTATCAGATATTTCGCTAGTTATGCACAATTTTTGATTGCTAATTTGGGAAAAAGCGCTGTTTATCAATAACCTGACCACACAATTAAAAAAATTCAATCTCTATGTTGTAATTATTTGTAATCGTAGTATTAGTATTTCGAGATGACCGAATTACAAGAATTCAACCAAACACAGAGAGGGCGGAATTCAGGAATTTGTTAAATAAAGTATAATTATATTTTAATAGTTTACACACAATGATAAGTTTTGTTATTGGTAATATTTCGAGCAAAATTACTGCCCGTGTTCACACCACTGTTGGAATTGTTTTATTCACACATTTATGATTTGTATTCACAATGCTCAAACTTTTTACTGATATTAATTCAGGAATTTGTATTTAGCGGAATTATTATTCAATTCACATAAGAAATATATTAACAATCAACAGTAAGTATTTAAACAATACAGAGATAGAAATTGTCAATCACCACATCCGCCACACGTCGAATATCTCCTTGCGTATTTATAACGATGTCTCGGTTTGCTTGCAAGTAGCTGCGACCTTCTAACTGATTCTGTGATATTATTTTCATCAGTATTATCTGGACTTGTTTCTGAATTATCTGCAAAATCAGGATTAGTAGCGGAATCATTAAAATTATAATTGGATCGACCTACTTCATTTATTGTCACTTTGTCCAGGTGTCCGTTATGAACTGAGTGATCTTCGATTTGTCTAATATCTCCACCACTCGATTTCCCATTTTTCGTAGTATAATTCCAACAGAAGGTCTGTAGTCATTCCCTTTGTAATAATGTACATTAGAAGTCGTGGACATCAGATGCTTTCTGAGAATTCGAGATTTGAATAGTTTTGCAGGACTTTCATGGGTACTTGTATGTTCTGCATTCAACAGACGCAGTCTATGCATATGCAACAATTCCTCCATTTTAATCAGTTGCTCTCTCATCTCATTCAGTTTTTTTCGTGTTTTCGACAGTTCGCATTGTAACTCGGCTACCACATTTTTGAAAACAGTTGACACTTGAGTTTCTGAACTTGTAGTAGAGGTTTTCATTAGATGAGATTGAGTATTTTGAAAAGTTGAAAGACACATTGACTCCATTTTACTAGACAGATTGAGAGAATCATAAGAATTCTGAGTAACATAAGTATTCGAACTTCTGCAAACAGTCTTGATGTGTCCAACTTTACCACATTTGTGACACTTAGCACCCCGAAAACGTCAAGTGCTTCGTAGATTAATCTTTCCACAGGAAAAACACGGTTTAATGTTATTGATCTCTCGCTGCATTCTGTTACCTGTGGACGACAGTTTGCATTGCTTTCCATGAACACTTGTATTTTCGACTTTAGAAAGCATGACATCAGATACTGACGTAGTGAGAGCAGAGTATTCATTATTGACATCTTCATATGTAATACATAAATCTTTAGCAGTTTGAAAGGTACAAGAAGGAATCTGAATTAACTCTTTCTCTAACTTAGGAATATTGATTCCAGGAATAAGACGATCACGTAGATGAGTATGCAGCTGATCTCCAAAGTTGCACTTTGAAGCTTGTAATTGAAGTTGAAGAATGAAGTCTCCTATCTTCTGGTTGGGAGCACGAACCAGTTTATTGAATTGAGCCTTCTCTCTGGTCTCAAAAGTAGTTATATGGAAGTGATGTATCAGAAGTTCACAGATCTTGTCATATGATAGAGAGATAGGTTTATCTGGAAACGCCAGATTCTTTACTAGGCTATATGCATCTAGCCCAATAGCTGTAATGAAATGTGCTGGAATTTTGTCATCCTGAACGTTCTTTGAAATGCACCATGCATCAAGCATTCAAGATCATCATCAATTTCCCACGGAGAACCATTTATAGGTAATTTTCCAAGTTTATTTAGTTCCATCGCGACGCGAATTTGTGGTAATTATTTGTAATCGTAGTATTAGTATTTCGAGATGACCGAATTACAAGAATTCAACCAAAACACAAAGAGGGCGGAATTCAGGAATTTGTATTTGGCGGAATTATTAATCAATTCAATTCATATAAGAAATATATTAACAATCAACAGTAAGTATTTAAACAATACAGAGATAGAAATCGTCAATCACCACACTCTATTTCATTTTATATCAATTTAGGAGAGCAATAATGTTGTGGGAAAAGAAAGTGCAATTATGCGAAGAGACAAAAAAATCAGTTGACTGTGAAATGGGTCAAGGCGAGATTAGTGTTATGCGTCATGAAATTCATCGTATGGAGATACGGAAATCTTCATTACTTCAGCAACAAGAAAGGCTGATACAAGCACTAGAGCGTTCTGTGTCAAAGTAAGCTTTTATAGAGTTTTAAATAAATTTCAAAGATATGACAATTAAGACCAGATTGTATCATTTTAAATAATTGTGCCACTTTTTTCAGTGGTCTATATTGTGTGTCAGCCTGATAGGTACACTTTAAAGCAATAAACAACTGTTCAGTTTGCTAGTCTACTTCTCTCTTTTCTCCGTGGTAAACGTCTTATTTTTACAACTGAAGGTTGAAGTGCTGAGACTATATGAATGTCTTGGCTTTTGAAGAAGGGTCTAGTGCTTTATTCTGACGGATTTTAGGAATGATTAATGTTCAGACTTATTACATCAGTGAAATCTTATCGTGAGCTCACTGATTTCTGTCATTTCAGATTTCTTTGTGAAAATGAGAATCTCAGGTGCATTTATTAAAGCCACTACCACTTTGCAGTTCATTTCGAATTCTTTCATTATTTAGTGAAATGAATTAATGACTATTGATAATCGAATTTTGGACCTGTTAACAGTTAAGCCTGGTAAGCTGGTCAGTAGTGCAGGAGCTACTATCACCTAGCATCTGCAGCTTTGAAACCTATTACTGTTATACTCTTCTGGATTTTCATCTTCTTACTGCCTGATTGTTCATCAGTGTTAACGTTTATTACTGAAATGGACACCTATTAGTAAGTTTCTAGTCAAATATGTTCTTTTATGAAGTGTAAGTTAGATTACGTATTTTGATTAACAAATGGCGGTTATGGTGAATCGTTTGCTGTGCACTGGTTCTTCCAGAATTTATGTATTCTGTTCGAAGAGCTTCTTGATACAGTAACACTTCTATTGATTTTTGTGACAACAATAACTCCTTAGCCTATTCTTTAATCTCATTTAAAAGTAGTCTTTTTCTGCTACCACCAAGAAGAAAGGCATTTGTTCAGCTTCATTTTAAGTAAATGCCATCTCATACCTAGTAAAAGCTGCTGATGTAGAGGTCAATACTTCTAGATTCTTTCTGCTTAAGATGGCCAATTCATTATCTCACTTGTCACTTCCTTCAGTGCTACATCAAAGCCCTATCATAGCCATACTTTAAGGTGCATTTTTTCAGAAAATCTCTTGGCTGGAGATAATATAAGTATTTGTACTGATACCGAATTCGTTTGGCAGTAGCCAGAGAGAAATTTCATTTCAAATAAGGCTTTTCCTAAAAAACTGAATAAATACTTAAGTATGGGTGTGGTATTTAGAAGAAAACTCTCAGTAGCATGTAAGCTATACACCAGTTAATTAGCATTTAACTGCAGAAAGAGAGGATTTGTGTTTCGCCTCCTGAAAAATGGGTAGTAAAATTATAAAGCTTTAACTAATACTTTAGATATATCAAGAGTTTGATTTATTTAGCTCCACAGATTTCGATTCTAACGTAATTATGCTTGTAAAACTTTCGACCGATTTATTCAGATTCTTTATGGATCATTTGCATCCTTTGGCAAAAGGTAAAATTATATAATTCCCCAGTGAATAAGTAAGATGAGAGACAGCTTGTTTCAGTGGATGCTAAACTTCTGATGTTGTAGACACTTTCATTTGAATGTACGTCTCTTGTTGCTGGGTTGATGGTGGTTAGAAGTGAAAACCAGGACGTGCACTTCGTCTCATTTGAGACACATCAACTAAAATGCCAGAGTTATACATACATATATATAATATATGTTTATGTATATAATGTTATCATTCACTCATCAGTAAGAAGACTGTTATAAAATAAAATCTTTTATCAGTCATTCAAACCGTCAAACGGAAATGATTTAAAGAAGCAGTAAGTGTTGTGAGCGTAAACATTCAAAAGAGCAACTTGCAGTTAATGATGACAAAGATAACCTCGTTCATGTATTCAGTAGTAACCTATGAAATGCTTTATTTATTGAGTTGACATCATATACTTATGCAGTCTTCTTATTTTCAGGCGTGATATTATCGTGAATCAGTCTGAACTTGTGCAGTTGAAAAAAGATAAAACACAAGTCCGCATTACAGCTCAGCGTCATATTGATGATCTGAAACAAAAATTGAAAGCTATTAAACAGGTACTTTCCATATTTATAAGGTTTTTTTTGTCAGATTCAGTTTTCACATCAAAGCTTAATATCAAGTGCAAAAATAGAGTTAGAGTAAATAATGCGGAATGGCTGTTGCTATGCTATTATTATGAACACTAAAATTTTTGTTTCCGATTTCCGTACTGTTTAACAAAGAGTCTCAAAATATAAATTTTATTACAACATAGGTTCATCGGAAGAACTTACTTAATATGTGTGGCTTTTAAGTGGGTGCCTTTGTTTTTTGTAAATATCTTGAGATTCTGTAACATTCTTCGTATTTCCTTCTGCTTAAGATTTTTACGTCTACCCAGTTGAATTACAGTTCGTAGTTGTTCACTTTATCTGATGATAAGAACGCATGCATACCACATGTTTTTACTATAAGTGTGTATTTATGGATGCAAAGATCAAGGGGACATCCTCTTTGGTCAACACAGTATTTCTTCACAGTTCATGCAATCCATTCCGTAGATAATGTTGATTCTGTTATTTTTACTGTTTAATCTGATTGTTATATTCACCTGTATCGGTATTGGTCGTCTGTTTGACCTGACATTCAGCCTTTCAATGGTGTAACCTGCTATGTTTTACTTGATCAGTTTGAAATAATAGAGATTTGTAGCTAGGGTGAGTGATTTGCAATTAGTTGTGTTCTCTGAGCTAGTAGGTTGGTTTAATTGCGTAGCTTTCGTTGTAATTCTGGACAGCATCTTCAGGGCAAGTTTTAGCATAAAATTAACTGATTTAAATTCTCCTTGAATGATAAAACTGCGTTTCCTGGTAACTGTCTTCGTGATTGGTAGTCGATTTACATCTGTATTAATCATTTTTATTAACTTGGATTTTGACCTTTCTCGTCACATGATCTACTTTTCATTAGTTGGTGGATCTGGTCTATATTAACATGTTTGTTAATAGCATATTTGCTTGAGTACCAGGCTTCTGAAATTCTCTGGCACTTTTGGTGTTTCTTCTGTTTAAAATTTCGACATTACCCAATCAAATTGATGTCCATGATTGTCTACATTCACTGATATGAAAGAATATATATAATGTCTTTTCACAGCTCGTTTGTGTTCTTGGATTCTGATTCGAAGGGGATGTATCAATATGTATGTTAACCACAAAGTGATCTGAGTGCCAGATACTGAAGATTTCTGTCATTTTTGTGTTTCTTGTGTGTAATATCGTTAAATTCCCTCAGTAAAACGGATGTCCGTAGTTCTTTTTATTATAGCTTGACTCCACACCGCAGTTTTGGTACAAGTATGTGATATCGGTAGCCCAAATTTTGCAGGCCGACCATTAGAATCAAGTGTTGGTCGACAGGGGATCGAACCTCGGATGATGTGCATGGTCAGTGAGGGTCTTAATCGACCAGTTGTATTCGTGTGAACGAATGAACGCCTTTTGACCCGCCGTTTGTGTTCATAAACGTTAAGATAATATAGGCACCTGTTTTGATTACTGTAGTGCCTTTCTTATTTAATGACATCTGTCTCATATATTGCACTACACCATCGGAAGACAATTATTTCTTTTATGGGGAATTTTGAAAGCTTCGTTTCTTAGGATGTTGTGTTTAAGGACAATGAAAGCTCCTCACTCAAACTTTGTCGGGCTAAGGGAACATCACATTACCAAAGTGATTCACATTACCTATACATCATCCTAATCTCTGTAAACCTAAGTTAATTTCAGTAGTTAATGAATCACACTTACAAGTCATGGTAAGATATATGAAATGAAGACTAAAATTGAACTGTTTCTATGATATAATACTAACCGTAGTTCGGTGAATTATGATTTGGATTTGTGCTAAATGAGCTTTGAATCTGTTCTCTAATACGGTCATGATGAAGAATTACTTGCTGGTATTGAAATACCTATCACTACAAACCAGTATTCTCTGTCGTCCAAAATTTTTAAAAAATATTTAGAATTCTTCCATTTGTACACAAGAACTTGGAGAAATAGAGGAAAAAACCAATATTTTGGAAAGCGAATTGTCAATGAAAAAAGCTGACGCTGAAAGTGAGAAGACGAGAGCTGATGAGTTGATGAAGAAACTACAATCATTAATTGATCAGAAACAAATTGTAAGTCACTTGCGTTTGTAGATTTATTTAAATAATACAATATACTTGTGCTAAATTACTGCATACTTTCCCAACTCTTGATGCTACTATACCAGTAAGTGATCTGAATATACTGCCCTTTCAATAATGCTGCGGTTGTTATTTATTCTGTTTGACTAGGGATATGTGCGTCGGTGGCACAGTGGTTAGGACTCTCACGGACCATGGACATGGTCCGGGGTTCGAGCCCACGCCGGCGCACACCTGGTATCTATGGTCGGCCTGCAAAATTTGGGCTACCGATATCCATGCTGAAAATTCCATACTTGTACCAAAAATACAGTGTGGAATCAAGCTGTAAATCAAAAAAAAAAATCTACGCTATCACGCATGATTCCTAGGTAAACCAAGGTTCTACAGTGTTCAAAATTACTGGCAGTGTAATATGAAGAATTTCCAAAGGAAAGCAGTCAAACACTAACCTATAAAGTCTATAATTTTGTTGTTCGTGACTTTCACTTCGGAAAACCTAATAAATTTACTGGAAAAACTTCAAACGATGGATAGACATAGTGAATTTATTAAAAATAAAACATAAAGGACAAGTGAAAGAAGGATGTACAAGAATGTTGAAATTAATACTGTAATGACTAACTCGGACATTACGTGATTTATTTCAACACATTGAAGTGACTCATGAATCAAATAGGAATAATGAGTGTTTTCATAGTAGAGACGTTATACTTATCTCTTAAAGAACATCAAATACAAACCCTTTTTGTATACAAAAAGCGTTTAAGGTTAAAGATTGGATGAGTCAGTCTTATTGGCCACATGACAACTTACTATTCAAGCCATAATTGTCCCAAATACTACCTCATTTACTGTGTTATTTCTGTAATGGTAGTAATAATAACCTTATAATTTAGAAATTGTTGACCTAATTAATGTACATTTCCTGAGTAACTCATTGCATAAAATTTTATGCTGGATCATGATGTTCAAGTTAAATAGTAATCGATAGTATATCGCGTGACATAGTGCAGTTCCACTTAAAGCACAAACTAACTTATCGTGATATTTTTTCTGGCAATTGTAAAGAAAAGCAGCTCAGCTCAACAACTAATGAAATAATCTTGAAAATCATACCGTGAAGACTGACATTTATTATATGGTAAAGTAGCGCGAACATTATCAAAACAGTTAAACATACTGCAAAGTGTCTCCCAGTTTCCTATAGCAATGGTTGACAATCTCTAATAGTCTCTGTAGGTAAATTTGTCTAAGTGACTGTACGTGTCTTTTTGAGATCTGCATATCATTTTTATACTTTTTCAAATATCGAAATCGTATAAGTCGCAGTCGATAAAATCTAAGGAATGATTCACTCTGCTCACTCCCCAATCAAGGATGTGCATTCCAGTCGTGAGTTTAATTGATTATCCCTGGTACCATGAAACATATTACTGGTATTAAAACATTGAAACTTATCATGGAAATTCTTTGTGCAAAGCAGCAGTCTGATTGGTTGTTAAAAATCATTTCACTGGTTCTTGAGTTTGGTTGTTATTCTTGATAGCTGTCCTTTTACCTTCGTCTCCGAAATACGCGTAGCAGTAGGTTGAAAACGAATTACAAATGTGCGCTACTACACTTTGCGGTAAAGTTATACTGTGTTAGCCTCTCCAGTCGACCTTGCCATTCACCTTAGCTACTGGTTACAAGTGAGGGGCAGTGAAGGTCACACAATTTTGAGAAGAATGCCTTAGATAACGGTGTTTGGATGTTAGTTTGTATTTCACTATCTGTTCTTTAATCTATCAAAAAATCATAATGCTTCAAAAACCAGTTATCCTGTCAAGCTTCTCCAATTCGCTCATTATTCACACGGTAATCAAAAAATCGATATTCTTTGAACTCGTTGAGCACAACCAGAGAAGGAAGCGTAATTTGATTCAGTTACACCACCTGTAAATCTAAATGGTTTTCGAAAGTTATATAGTGGGTTGGCCACTGTAGTTCAAGCTTTCCAATTAAGTGATCCAATGAGACAATCGTGAAAAAACGAAAGAAATTTGATGTATTATGTTGGTAGGAAATTCAGATAGCCCAGCAGTTTAGGCAGGCCATCGACTGATGTTTAGTGTTTCCTTGACACTTCAGATTATTATAAGATTATCATCATTTTTTATTTCTTTTGTTCATAATGGGACATAAGAATTTAGTGACACAATTGAGTCTCATACTGTTCTACACCTAAATCCTCAGCTTTTGTATCTACTTCTTTTCATCATCGATGTTTACATTCAATTATTTTCTTTTCGACACGCCTTCGTCTGTTGTAGCTGACATACATTTATTTCGTCAACTTTTAGGCTTGCTTTATGAAGCATATTTACTTCATGTGGTGTTTTTTGTGCAGATTTCCACATTTAGTTAGTCGCAAAACGTTCCGTTTTTCAAGTCTTTAATTTTTCATTGCTTGATAGGAAATCGTGCAAAATTGTCTGTCTGTGGTGAACATAGATTTGCCTGCCTACCGAGATCATTATACAACCATTAGGTAATTTCCAGGCTGCTACTCTGATATGATTATATTCAAAGAAGAGAGAGGAATATGCATATTCACAAAGTATTTCACTTAGTACACAATAATAATGGCCAAACAGTGTTATTTTAAAATGATAAAATCAGTTCGTTGTCTATCTGTACAACTACGAGAAACATTATAGCAAACTAATTCCGATTGGCGCCGATTGAAATCAGATATTAATCCCCACACTATTTATCTTCTCAATATAAAATTTGTTTGGGTTTATGTTGAATGACTATAGTATTGCTTCCATCACCGTTTGTTTTTACTTCCAGGATCTTTTTGAACTCCAAATGCGTCAGCATGCCACAGTGTACTGGGAGCAAGTTAAAGAAGGCAAGTATCGGCGTCTTTGTCCTTCTGTCACTTCAGCCGAAAATGAGAGAAAAAGACAGATTAATCGCGCTCGAAGTTTAATGGCAGTTATTGACCACTTAGTAACAGAATTTCCACAGGTTTGTTGTGATCAATTGTTTTTACATGGGTATTTATAACATTCAATAAATGAACAACGCTGACTTCGTTCACTTAAACAGTATTTGGATTGCGTGATGCGAGACATTTTAATAACTCAATAATGAATGTTCATGTATGTAGTAGAAACCAGGAAGCATTTCAGCGAACGCTGAACGCCTTAGTACTTTAAAACGAAATCTAATAAACAGTAGTCACCTTCATAGTTTCACAAACTTCAACAAAGTAAATAAAATGTCTCAGAGTAGCGCGATATACATCTTATTGGTCATATTAAGATTATCCTGAATAAAATGCTCTCTTTTTCTCTTGAATTAAGTATCAATATAAAGAGGGAACAATATTTCACAAGACTTTACCAATAATGTTATTGCAGATTACTGTTAAGAATTATAAAACCAGATGGTTTCATGTAAGTGCCAGTTTAGGTGGTTATTCGCGCTCAAGAAGAAATAAAATATGGACATTACAATGAAATTATATTAATCATGAATAATCGGTTATTTCAGTCTAGTTGTGTTCAAATTAAATCTGCTACACTAACTGACTGAAATGGCTTTCACAAGACAGTAAAGATTGTACTGATTTTCTTAGACGCGAAGAGAAATAGAGGTGCTATACCAATCGAGCTGCGAGATGCAGTCATTAATAACAATAATTTGCTTTATCTCAAAACAGTACTTATGAATCAGCGTGGAATTCTCAGTATTTGGTACAATAATGAATCCACTTTTCTCGACAACAGAAAAAAAATTTAAAAGAATAATACAGGACTGATAGTAACAGTGCTGTGGTAGGAGACAAGAGACTTGGCAACGGTATGCTTATTTGGAATTTATTATTTCTATATAAGAAAATTTCATACACCTTAAATGAAAACCGTAATTTGTGCACATCTTCTGTGTTGTGCTATTTCTGCCCTTTGCACTCACTATCTTTCTTTGTCTTCTGTTTTGCTGCAACACTGGTTCATTTAATGGCTTTAACGTCAAACCTAACCTTCCGCTATTTCATACTTTGTACCAGTGAACGTCTCTTTATAAACTAATGATAAATCTTGTCAGTAGCACACGCCACATCGGCTTTTTTGGTATTAACAATGACAATTAAGTCAAAAATGTACGAAAAGTGTAAAATAATGATAATAATGTTGATCTCTAAAGTTATAAGTTAATTGAAATAGTGTCACCATAGATACAAATAGGAGAGGATAAAAGAGCCAACTGTTTTGCTAATGTGGTGAGTTGAAGGTTTCGCGCTTAACATTATCTCTATCGAGCCAAATCACCTCACCACGAACAATGCCTAGATGTAATCGATTTTCTCTCCCAGAAATGCATGTGAGTGCTATACTTGCAGAAGGCCAGCTAATTTAATTATTTGTTTGTTTCAGTAAATTGATTAACTTTTCAGCAAATGTGGATAAGATCTTTGATGTAATACTGAATGATACAGAAAAGAAGATTTTGTTTTCATGATATATATATATATATATATATATATATTTATATAATGTATTCACCACTTTCTTCCAATTTACAGATCCGAAAAGATTTGGAACCTGTAGGTCATTTGTTAGAAAGCAAGTTAAATTCTGAAAGCAGTGAACTTAAACTTGATGGTGTCAGTGCTGGTACTGAAGATTCATTATTGATTTAAGATTAGAATAAACCAGCTGTGTTTAGTAATTAAAAAACAAGTTTCATAAACGAATGGCTGTCTATGCCGAAGCTCTCCATAAAATATCAGATCAATTTTTCCGTAAAAGTATGTATCTATTTATCCACACAATATATAAATAACTGTGAGATTTGAACAATTAATCGGTTTTTGAGCAATGCGAACATTTTTTAGATATTTCTAGTCTCAGGTAACTTCCTATTTTAACTTTTGATTTTTTCCAAATCAAAACTTTTAGGACTTGTAGATCACCATTATCAGTTGTACACAGGTGTCCAGCAAATATTGATGTTCTCACGTAAGCATTTTCTGAATACGCATTTTGGTAAAGCAGCGTAAATATAGGGGTGAAGCACCTGAATCATCATATGGTCTGAGGAGTGCTTGTCAAACAGCTAAACATAAATATTTGAAACAAATTAAGCAATTTTTGATCAGTTACCGTTAGAAAATCAAATTAAATTTGCTTTAAATTTTATAAATCAGAATGGCGGCTTCCGAATTAATTTGAAATTTACATAGTTTGAGGTGAAATTTCATCACAGTTTCCTTTGGAAACCTAAATTATCCAAATCACAGTATCTGTTCTGCTTGATACCGTAAATGGTAATCAAGAAAACAAGCATAATTGTTTACACTATGCACTACTGACTGATTGAGGTGAGTAGTTGTATACAACTCATACCAACAAGTAGTGCTCGCCAGCGAGATTGAAGTTACCCAACACAATAGCGGTTTCACTCATTCGAGGATGAGCTCATCAGCGGTGTACTCCGTTTGACTCAGCTCAGGGAGCGAGTCAGTTCAAACCACCTTATACTTGTTGGCTACTTCAACGAACTGGTAATTCCATAAATCACTGTACAATTTCTTCTCTGCCTTCAGTAATAGCGGATGAAATTAAGCACAAGTTATTCAAAGGCACTTTATTGTGAAAAAATCTTCAGAAAATGAAGACGGAATTTTTCAGAAATGCAATAATGATATCGCGATTTGTCTGGACCGATACATTCATGAAAGATTAGGCCGCATTTCATGCTACATAACGCTTCCTAAATAAAACCTAATGCGTAAAATAAGTGTGACAAATAAGATAAATAACTGATTATAAAAGACGATTTCAGCAAGCAAATAGATAAACTCTTATCAGGCTTTACAATTACACTATTAAATATCATTCATAAACATTTAAAACTATGTGGATCAATCGAATCAGATATAGTCAAGTAGAATTTAAGAATAATAATAAATTGTGGAACTAAGATTAAAGTACGCATCCGTAGCAGAGTATGATATTGGTAATGAGGTTAGCAATACAAATAAAAATAGTATTTACCGTTATCCAGTGTCACAGAGACATCTACTGTAGGTTCGAGTTGAAGGCTGTAGGAAGGGAGAAGAATTGTACAACTTTTTCTGAACTCAGAGATTGGTTTCGAAAAAATGTTTTATTGCAACTGTCTCATCTGTGCATAGCAGTCCAAGGCGTAAAATCTTAGAGTACTGAGGTGGCACTTTGTATAGAACTGTAAAGGTTGGACTTTTATTAATTTTTTGACCTGTAACTACAAGGTTTGCGAATATGGGTCTCCTGATTTAATTCACGACTCCTTTACCTAACCACACTGGACAATGCTCAAGAAGGCAACGGTGGGCTTCTCGAGTCATTGTACCTGTGTAACTGTCCTCACAAGAGCAGTTAAATTTATAAATGCAGTGAAGAAACCAGATTCGTAGTTTATCCCTTTCTTTGTAGTGGAATTATATAACGAATAGAGAATCCTAAACATGGTGTTGCGGCAAAGAGTGTTTTACCAATTTTTTTCCGGAGTTTCAATGCCAGTAATTCAGTGGCTGGCATGTGATTCAATTGATCCGCATTTTTTCAAATATCTATGACTAACACTTTATTATATAAATGTAAGACCGGGTGGGAATTTACCGAAAATACGTATATGCTTGCTTTAATCGTGTTTTATATTTAACATAACAGAGTTATACTCTACCACGGTGCCCTAGTTTTATACTTATAATGGAGATATTTAAATTATTAAACAGCTGAAAGACATTAACTTATGGACATCCGATCATCTTATTGAACAAAATATATGTTTATATATGCAACAAACATCAGTACCCCAAGTTCTTGTATATCTTCTCTTGATAGTTGCCTGTCGGGTATTTTCATGCTAAAATAGATGAAAATAATTAGGAAGGGTATTTACAGGCTATAAAACAAGTCACTGTAAGTGATTTAATACGTAGACGCAAAACAAGTAAGTAAGAACAGTAGTGAGAAGTGTATAACAAGCCTTTGTGTTAGGGAGTATGGTGATGGTAAGTGATTTGTCTTGTTTGTGTTGTTAGCTGACCGTATAAACCTTTCTTTAAATGTTAGGAGATCTCCGGAAATTTGTAGGCTTCTCCTATATGCCTACAGGTCACTTGCTAGTAGCCAAATTGAATATCAACTTCAGTTCGCTTCGATTCCTGATATAGTCCCATGGCCAATCAGCGCTATCCTCCTGATGCCACAAATTGATTATGATATCTCCTTATAACTCCACTTCATTCATCATGAAGTCATCCAGTAATCAGCAAGAAGTTAACATGTAGATTTTAAGTCAGTAATCACCTGTTTATTATCAGTGTGGATTAGTCAGGAAACCTAGGGGGATGTGAGAAAGTAGAGCATCAAAGAAGTTCACAGAAACAACAGAGCTTTGAAAAATCCATCCCCTTTGACAAGAGGATGATGAGTTTATTGTCCTGAGATATTATGTTCCTGAAACTTTCCTAATCACAACTGTCGACTACCGTGAACTAATTATGCTTTCTCCACTAGACGAACGGCATTAGGAGCTATCTAGTCACCAAATTAACTTAGATCGTGCTAAGCGGACCGCTATTTTGTGGTCAAAACGTTCGTCCCACATAGGAAAGATCAATACACATCAACCTTTAATCCAAGTTCTAGTCAATGTCAAAAAGCGAATGATCTCGAATGCATTCGCGCAGTGTAAGTAGTTGACCTTCTATCTTCCTCTTGATGTGCTCTGGCTAGACAGGTTAGCATGTTCAGAAGCACTGCCTCAATGTGTAATCATTGCCATAAAGATTTAAAGGATAAAGTGTTTTTACGGTTACATGAAATTATGCTTTATGTGTTCTGAACTTAGCTTGTCAAGTTGTTTGTTGTTGTAATTTGCTTAGATGCTTGACATAAACTTTTCCACTTTGATTCACATGGTGGTTTTCAATTTCTTGTTTTCGTAGTCCTTATTTATTTTACTATCCTGATTGTTTCCTACTGTCCATCATCAATATTTTTTCCTTTTTTGTTTAAAGTTTTGTTTTAGTTCTTCCATTTGGTTGTTTTTTATTATAATTTCTGGTTCTGCTTTCGCTTTATGAATTAATTGAGCGGTGTGTAAAGTTTCATGCTAATGTACGTAACCACCTTTCATGAAATTCAAAGCCAATTTTAATTAGAACTGTGTTTTATGTAACATCTTTTTCTTTTTACACAGTCCATTCGAAAATTCCTTATTTCACAACCTTTGCACCGTTTTTCGCTTACGCAGTCCTTACAGAATCATCTAAACTTTGTGACTGCTTGCTACTGCACACAGCAGTCGGTTGTATTCGTGACTTTGTCTACGTATGATCCATATGGGTGTTCTTCGTATGCTATTAGGATTCATTTTATGTTCGTGAATTGAATTAACTCTTTCTCATATTTAATCCCTTATACATTTTCCCATCATTTTGGCGAACCATAATAATATTCACACAACTATCACTAGGCTATGTTTCTTGAGTTCCCCTATTTCTTTGCCGGGGATCTCCAACATTATTTAATTGACTTCACATTTAATAATGTTTTTCGATTCGTCTGTACTAATCTTTCTTCGTCATTTGTTTAATTCGTGTAGATACCTTTTGCCATGTAGTGACCACCTTTTGTTCGAAAAGAATGAATATAGTAGGAATGAAAGAAGACTTTATTTGTGTCACTGACATTCATCATATATTTCTTCCATGATATGAATGGCGTACTGCCTATTCAGTAGGCTCTTTTGCTTATTTAATCTGTTGCTGTAGTATACAATTTATTAAACCTATTAATAACCTATCTAAGATATGATATTAGCTGCATAAAAAGTTTTTTAACAGCAGCGTTCAGTCTTTGTCTAGTTATCAAGCTGCTTTGATGCCCCATATAGGGTAACTTGAAGTACACGTCTTTCTTAGGAGCGAGTTGGACAGTGGGTCTTAGTGTTCTGACTACTTTATATCTCCTGATGAACTTGTCTGGATAATTGTTATTAACCAGAGTTTGTGTCAACTTTCTTTCTTCTTCATCAAGTGTATCTTCAGTGCATGTTCGTTGGATTCTACTGAAGAGGCACCTTACTAAGGCTCTTTTGTACCGAACAGGGCAGAAACTGTGGTAATTAAGATACTGTCCTGTACAGGTAGGTTTTCTATAAATAGATCTTTTTATTGACCATCAAGCCGTCGACTAAGCAATATGTATAGGAAAGATAAACAATTATCTTCCTCTTCTACAGATGTAAGTGATATGCTATTCTGAACTTCGTTCATTCGGTTTAAAACTGAGGTGGCAGAACAAAACTTATCACTGATGACTACGATATCATCTACATACCTTCTATAAAGTGGCACATCTTCGATTAAATCCTCCGATAAATTCTAAATGTTCGATATATAAATATCTGCTAAAAGGGGCCCTAACGAACTGCCCATAGCAACACCATCAACTCGGCGGAAACAGTCGCCTTCAAATGTAAACCTAACATTGTTAGTACATAGAAGTAATAAATCCCTTTAGTAAGATGTAGGGAACGGGATGAAAAAATTGTTTGTGGAAATATAATCACACAAAATGTCAACTATTTTGATCAAAGGCACATTAGTAAATAACGAGTTTACATCAAAAGAGTACATATTCTTGT